GCCCGGGGCAGGGGTTGGAGCTGGAGGAGCTTTAAGGTCCCTTCAACCCAAACCAGTCTCTGATTCCATGATTACTATTCAAATCTTACTTCTGACTGTTGCTCCAGCCTCCATTCTCCCTCTTCACCTTTACAGTGTTCGTATGTTCCGTATTATTTTATCAACTATGGCTGATTTTTCAGGGCCAACATTTACTCTCTTTAGGTGTGTTGCTTCCCACAGAGAGCCACCACAACACTGATTCTTGGTAAGGTTTGGGGCAATCATATTGTACAGTGAAAACACATAAATGTGATTGCAGTGAGATGCTGGCTGGGACACCCGTAGCACAAGGCTGCTGCCTTTCAGGGTTAGCCCAGTCTGCTGGTAACTGAGCTGGTTTTGGGGGGCAGGAGGAAGTATTTAAAGAACTGGAGAGTTAATAGAATATTCATTAAAATAACCCTGATTTTTCCCCTCACCTCTATGAATATTCCAAAAGGATGAGAAATATGGAAACCAATTTTACATAGAATAATTCATATTTGTATAGACATAGATTTATCTTTAGTGTAGATTAGAAATAACACTTTTCCAACACAGATCTGGGCAGATTCAGAAGGAAAGGGCTTTATCTGTTCTATAAATGGCTACCAACAGTCCAAACAGCCTTTACTGGTTGGAATGTTTCCTCTTGATCTGCTCCCACCTCAGCCACAGCTACTAAAGCGCTTCTGTTTCCTCCCTCAGCTCACCCAGGGAGCAGAGTTAAAGCTTTCACTCTCTCAGTTCACCCTCCTGTCCCCTGGAACAGAAATGCTGACGTTCTCTTTCATTTTCACCAGCAGAGGAGGAAAACAGCGTGGCTGAATTCTTGACATCCCTTTTGGAGTTGCTGGCTCTGGGCCATGCTTTGATAGGAACCTTTTCCTGTCCAGAAGGCAGAAGTAGGTACAAGGTCATGGCAGGGGGAGGCTGTAGCCTATTAACACAGATCTGTTTTCACTCCTTCATCCCTGTGCACAAACAAATCCACATGTACAACTTGCTGAGCCCCAGGGCTGAAACCTTCTGCAGCTCCCATACCAGGATCCTTTGACCTTGACATAACTCATCCCCCCAAGACCTGATCAGTGCTAATAAATCTGTTTGCTTTCCTCCAGCCTCTGGCACACAGCAGTGAGATAGCCCTGGGCTGGTTTGAGTCCTGCTGTACTGCTGCTGCTTCTATAAGGAGAGAAGTGCCCAAGTCCTCTTTTCTCTTGGGTATTCCTGATTACACGAGTGTGATCATGGCTGAGTGTTGGGTGCTTGCAGGCTGTGATGGTGTTGGCTTAGAGACAGAGGGTGAAACACAGGAGGGTTAAAGCTCTGAAACAGCCCCTCTGAGTACCAAAGGAGCATCTTAAAGGTGCAGCATTGAGGCTAGAAGGTCTTGCTAGATGTTTTTTGAGTGAGGAGTTTGCATATATGAAATCAAAATAGCTTTGTATGGAGATAAGGATGGAATTGTAGCTCTTTCCTACATGGATGAGTGATGAGCGGTGTCCTTGGGGGTCAGTGTTGGGACTGATCCTGTTCAACATCTTTGCTGGTGACAAGGACAGTGGGATCCAGCACCCTCAGCACGTCTGCTGGTGACCCGGAGCTGTGTGGAGCAGTGACACGCTGGAGGGAAGGGATGGGATCCAGAGGGACCTGGACAGGCTGGAGAGGTGGGACCGTGTGAACCTCGTGGAGCTCAACCAGGCTCATCTGCATGAGCTCAAGTGTTGACTGCCCCTTTAAACTACTCTCATTATGCTTCACGACTTTGCACATGGAAAAGCAGCAAGAAGAGCTGTTAAACCTTTCCTGGAGCTGGAAATTCATCTGTAGGAAGGTCTTTGGGGTAGTTACACGTGTCTCAACTCTTCTGCATTGCTGCAACCAGGCCCAGTGGTAAGAGGAGAAGGGTTTTAGCTACCTCTGTCTGAAACAGGCTGCAAGTGGTGTGGTTTCCAGGCACACCTCATTTACTGACACTCAGGAGCACACAAGCTGGGATCCATCCCCTTGGTGTCATCTAATAGCAGCAGACACCTGCTCCTCCTCTGCTTTCAGTGCTGGTTTGGGGTATGTTATTGCACTGGAGGTAACACGGGAGCGAGGGGCAGTGTTTTCTGCAGCAACCCCTCTGACTGACCAGAACAGCTCCACTTCGATGTGCCTCTGGCTTCACCTGAGGCAGGAGAAGTCCTGTGGCACCTCTGGAGTGTTCAGGCTAAGGACAAAGGAGGAAATCTCATTTAACCTCTCCAAATGTGAGCTGCTGTTTCTGTGTTCCCAGTTGTGCACAAAGATGTGTGTAGCAAAGTACCTGTGAGCGGGGAGTGGTGAGAGGTAGGAAATGCAGTTCCAGGACCCTTTGAAATAGGATTAATTGGATGATTTGAGGAATTTGATAGAGAACCATTGCTACAGTGGAAACCAGCAGCCTGAGGAGAAGGACTTGGGGTGTTGGGTGAGGAGAAGCTCCCCATGACCCGGCTTCAGTGTGTGCTTGAGCCCAGAACCCCCCCGTGTGCTGGGTGCACCCCCAGAGCGTGAGCAGCAGCTCAGGGAGGGG